CTTTATTCAATCATTCTGATTGTTTTTTGCTGGAGAGATTGACTATAAAGTTGATTTGAATTATATTTTCATAGGAAAGTCAAGTGGTTTAGACTTATGTTTTGTCTTTATTCTTGTTCACCATTGTAATCATTGACTCTATCCAGTTTTTTTTTTTTTTTTTTTTTTTTAGCAATGTTCTAACTGATCAAGAAACATTACTTTTAAGTGCATGTAAAAATCCACATTTATATTTTAACAAAATTTTAGTGTTCAGGCTTTAATTTTTTTGTATTAAATACAGGGTGTTTTTCATGGAAAAGTATAATAGATTTTTTTTTAAATACCAATATGTCCTTCAGTGGTTAAACCATGCTAGTTACACATATTTGCATATTGTTAGAAATAAATATTATATCTTAGTGGAGTATTGTAAATATCAACAAAAGATGATATTAACATTCCAGAGCTCCCATCACTTTTTATAAATATTCAACAACGTTATTCAAATCAAAATCCTCCCAGTCTCAGTTCGCCCTGATACATTCCTTAATCAGAGCTTCTGTGCCTTTCTGTAGATTTTTTTTTTTCTATATTTATCCATTATTTGAAAAGATGGCAAATAGTATTGTCAAGCCAAAATTTGTGTTTACATCACATTAAAGCTCTAAGCAAATCTGTTTAGCCTTTCTTAGCTTTTAGTTGACAATCAGTTTAGAAAGACAACTCTGAATTCAGAACCTCATTTGCTTTACAAACCCTCAGGAGAAAATTTAGTGCTGGAGTCCCGAAAATGATCTGATGGCGATCTTCAACCTCATTCAAACATTTGTGACAAGCAATGACATTAAAAAGGAAAACTTGCTTTCTTGACCAATGGTTTTACAAGCCCATGGCTTTGTGTCCCGGTTTGATCTGATATTTCTTTGAAAATTGTATAATTTTTTTTTTTTTTTTTTTTTTTTTATATATTCACAGTTATAATTTAAGTTTTAATCATTTTGAATTCCTGAGGAACATTTTTTTTTTTTTTTTAGCAGGATCAGATTTCTATTTCAAGGTGCAATAAATTGGCAGACATTGAACAAAATTAACACCATTCGGATGTAAAATATTTTGCTGCAGGTGATTTAACAAATGTTTCAGTGAGTTGATAAAAGTTATCAACAGGATGAAGAACAGATTTTTTTTGCACAATTCAGAGGAAGTGAAGAAAATACTAATTATATTAAAATAGTTCTAAAAATTTAAAAGCCACATACCAAGATTATTTCTTCACCTTTTCACATTTGTTCATTCAAATCAGCTTTTATTAAATATCATTATACTGCAATGAACCAGCATCTAATTAAAATTGCTTTCCAAATAGAAAATAAATGGTATTCCTCCTCAAAATAGACTTGACTGTATCATGCGAAGACATTAAAAATTGCTTCATTCTGTTTGGTGGTTGTCAGATTAATATTAGAAAAACAGATTTAGTGTTACAGTTCTTATTGCATGCACACACACACACACAGAGGAAGTGCTGAAGAGTTCTTGATTTGAGCCAATTCCTAAATTCAATGTTCTCTTCTAATATTCTAATGTAAATGTAACTGTTATAGGAAAGATGTTATCATTTGCATGTGGTCATACTTTTAAACTAACAAAAGTTCAATAATAGAAACCATTTTGCCAATTCATGTGTCTGTAATCAATTGAAAAAAATAAATTGCTCTCCTGTAGAAAATAAAACTACAACCATAAAAAAACACCAAAAAAACTCAAGACCAAGGCTCATATAAAAGTGGAAAAAAACTATAAAGTTTATATTTTCTTTAGCCAAAAAGAATTCTATATTTTGGGGTTTCAATTTATTTAAATTCATGAACTGAATAAAAAATCTGACAAAAATTGGTTATGTCTTTAATTAATCAAATTATTTTTTATCAATTTGGAGTTACTATTGAAAAATCAAATTTCTTAAAAGCAGAAAATGTTTTACCTATTTTCTTTTTTGCTAGGCAAAAATAAAAAGAAAATATGTTAAAAAAAAAAAAAAAATAACCAAATGACATGACAAATTTAAAGTCATAAATAAGTTATTCTACATAAGAGCAAATTTTTGTCAGATTTTTCCAGATATTTTGGAATAAACCAAACACTTCAAATCCCTTCTATTAAAAGGAAAAAAAAAAAAAAAAAAAAAAGAAAGTTCACGTGAATGAATAAAGTGAAAATTGGTTGTAGAAATTGTTATTTGCAAGATAAGGATTATTTCTAATTTTTAGGGGAACTATTTTGCTTGTTTGTTAATCTTATTAGCAGCTGATATGGTTTAGAGAATAAAAAACCTTTTGGTGTAAAGTCAAGCAATTCAAATAATATCTTTTACTCAGTTGAATACATTATTATATTTACTCACCTTTTGTTTCATCATAAAATCGCTTGCTTCATTGTATTGCAGACATAGTATTTCAAGCTTTTTACTTAAAACCCATAAAAAAAAAAAAAAAACATGCATCGACAGATTTACAGAAAATCCTATATAATTATAAATTAATTTCTTTGTTTCATGTTGTATTGCCTGATTCATTCAATTCAGAAATGTAAAACTTGTATTTGCTTTCTAAACAGACAAATTATCAATAAGTGTTCAAAAACTGAGGCATGGAAGACAATTCAGGTAAAACAAAAATCCAAAAATTGATATTTTATAATTTTTGTTTGTTCTTAAGCAGCATTCAAAAATATAATATTTTATGCTAAGTTTTGCATGATATTCGGCTGGACAGACATTTTTATGCAAAAAAGCAGATATTAAATATTTGAATATGCAATGGAATCAAAGTAATCATGAAATATTTGGATTAACATATACAAATATAAGACACCCCAACCACCCAAAACTTAAAAATATCTCCCAGGTTTTATATTTAATGCTGAGTTGTGCACTAAAAATGTTTCATTATTCACTGCTGAAATAGAGATGATTTTACGATATCAAATATGGTAGCCCACTTTTTTAGTATTAACATCAAATGAAAGAAACTGAGAAAAATGCAAAATGCTTCCAATGGCAACAGCAATATTTGGCTGAAGGTAAGGCAACATTTTTTTGTTTTTGCTTTCTTAAATCTACAAGTATCACAAATGGCCATATCAGTAATTTGGGATCCAAATTGACAAGTCAATTTTTTCAGATGGTTTGAATTCAAAGATTAAAGAGGAAAAGTTTTTAATCAAATAGTGAATGTTAGCATTATCAGCAAGGATTATTGAATTATTTTTCATAGGTCACTGATAAAAACTAAATGGAAACTAAAGAGACAGAAAATAACTGCATTATTCAAAATGAAACATTAAGTTTTCTGAATGTAACCATAAAAGAAAAACCTTAACTTTTAGTTTTAATTATTCATTTTTAGTCAAAGAGAATCGAGCTATAAAACCAGATTATAGCATCAGACAATTCCTGACATTTGTTTTTTTTTTTGTATCTCACTCTTAGAAGCAAGAGAAACAAAGCATTTTAATGTCTGAAGATACCTTTTCTCTCTCTTTCTCTCACACACACACAGAAAGCACATTATTTGAAACTTGATTATCTGAGGAAAAATTTCAGAAAATAGTTAATAAGTAATTGATATTACTTAATAACTATTTTCTGAATTTTTTGAACATTTCTGTTAATATTTGGCTTTTTGTTCATTAATGATGTAATACATTCTTCCTGAATTGCCTTTACTGCAACAATTCAAGTTTTACTTGCATTGTTCAAAAAAATTTCCACAAATACAATACTACTTTCAAAACCAATTCTGATGTCAGAATATTCCATTTGCAGAAATTTACAAAAATTCCTAATTTGGGCATAACTGATTATAAACAGATTAAGAAAAAAAATCAGTTAGTGCCTAAGTTACCTTTTCTGAAAAAGCTTTCCTTTATCTTCACTCATTAATTATATGCAAAAAAAATATATGTTGCAAAATTATGCAGATTACTTGTAATATTTCTGTTCATTTTTTGATTTCCAAATTTTGGTCAAATGTGATGATAGTCACCAAAATAGAAATGCAAGCCACAAAAAGAGAGGAAACATACGTAATAGTTTCAATGAATAAAATCTAAATTTGACTTTTAGTCATTCAAGAAACAAATTTTGAAAAATAAAATTTGAACCCCCATTTTCACACGCATGCTAGATACCATTCATCAATTTGAAAGAACTTTCAAATAATTTATGTATTTTTTTCTATCTCAAGAAAAATCCATCATCATTAAAAATGAGCATACAACCTGTTTTAACACAAATTTCCTTCCAGAAATTCCAAGATTCACCATAAGGACACTTCAGAACCAAACTGACAAATGAAACCTTGACACTTTTTCTAAACACAACACCCAATTTCTGGGTCTGAAAAACAGACCAATATTAAGGCATCAAGACAAGCATTTTACAATGATAGAAAGTAGCTATTAGCAAATACAAAAGAATGTACAACAGTAAACGCAAAAATATCTTCTGATAATTGTTACATAAAAATAAATATTTGATTTATTTTGTTTTTGAAGTTGGTGGGGGGGATACAAAAAGAATTATTTTAGAAATAGCAGGCTTTCTAAATTGTAAATTATTTTCTTATAGAAGAATATTAACTTTTTTCAGTGCTGCTTATTTTCAATGAATTGAATGTTTTGCTTTCAATTCTTCCTCATTAGATTCTCTGGAAACTAATAGTGAGATTTTAACATCATAAATTACCAAAATATTTTACCAATGTTTTATAAATAATCATATTGTTTTTCTTTGATAAGGAAAAATATATCTTTATAATTTTGGTCACTTTTCTCTATCTCTTTCTCTACAAAAATTAGAATGAGGCAACAGTGGTACTATCAAAATATTTCAAATGGAAAATGGAACCAAAGGGAAAAAAAAAAAGAAGATGGTTATTCATAAAAGATTTTTTTTATATTAAGATTACTCAGGTGGAATGAGAGAAATACAAATGGAAAAGTTTCAGAGATAAGGTCTACCTTCTGTTCTGTCGACCAGTAATTCTTACTGTGGGTAAGCCTGGATTGGGGTTAGGGTTTACCTTTGTTTGTTGAGGGGTTAGAGTGTTTCTAGCGGGTGGTGGTCTACTAGGGCTTGTGGTTGCTGGTGGAGGAGGAGCAGTGTATCCTGTTGGGGGAGGATAATGGGGAATTGGCTGTTGATACAGAGGAGTTGTAGTTGTACCTGTGTTCACTACCTTATAAGTTCCTTGGGAGGTTGGGGTTGGAGCTGGGGGTGGTGGTGGATAGTTTGGTTGATACCCAGACTGCAGTGGTGGAGGGTAGTTAGGAGCTTGGTAACTCCCTGGAAGTGTTGGTGGTGGTGGAGGTGGTCCGGTAGTAGGAGCAGCACCAGTAGCTGGTTGGGGAGGATAGGTTCCAGGTGGTGGATATTGATATATATTAGTATCTTGGGGTGGAAGGTTGCTTGGTGGGGGTGGGTATGGTCTTGAAGTGGGGGGATATCCAGGAGCAGTTGGCTGGGGAGGAAAGGGAGGTGGAGGTTGGTAGTTGGTTCCAGGAGGAGGAGGAAGGTACTGGGGTGTTGGAGGATTAACAAGCCCAGTTTGTGGAGGAGGTGCAGTAGTATGCAGGTCAGTCACTTGGGATGGGCGACTCTGGCTGATAAGAGATTGAATGTTTTGTGTCCCCTCATGAGACATAAATGAAGAGGAATACATCTGAGATGGCATGTAAGGATTGTACTGTGAAAAAGTGTCATTGTTTGTTGGATAGTCGAGATTTTGGGAGTCACTATTTGAACACTGGTTAACAATTCCTTGACCAGTGATAGGACCAATTGGTTGACCAATCTTGGGAGCAGATATTTGCTGCTGTTGTGATGATTGCTGCTGCTGCTGAGTGTGCTGTGGCTGTTGTTGCTGGGGTGGTGGTGGTGGTTGTTGGGGTGGCTGTGAGGTAACTGGCCCAGTAGGATTAGAAAATGCAGAAGAAGCAGATGAAGATGGAGGTGGTGTTTTTGATGTTGTGGATGGTGCTGATGGTGGCTGCTGCTGCTGCTGCGTGTTAGTAACAGAACTTCTTTTATTATTGCTGCTGCAGTCATTGACAGCTAATTCACTTGAAGAGGATGAGGATGAAGAAGAAGCAGCATCATTTCTGGAAGAACTTCTGTTTTGTTTCATTGGTGGCTCTATTGGTGATGAAGGTGTCTGTATACAAACATGAAAAAAGAAAAGTGGGGATATATAATTTAATAGCTGTATGAAGAGAGATCACATTGAGAATGATCATATAATTTTGACAGAAATTGCAACTGGTCTTCTCAAAATAAAACTTACAATGGAAAAGATGTTTCATGACATTTGAAGTATAATAAATTTAATGTCATTTTAATGATTACTTCTAAAATGTTCAGTCACTCAGAAAATATTTTCAGCAAATATTTTTATATTCTGAATACTAACCATTGTTTCTTTCTGAAAATTCTTATGGAAATAATTTTCTAGGCATCAAAATTTTCCCTAAAGCTTGTCAACAATGTACTACAGTTGACTGATTGCATAAACAAAGGGCTTAGTAAATTTCCAAAACACCGAGATTTTCCTAATATTGTGCAAATGATGGTGTTGGGAATTTTGAAATCAACCTAACAATATATATTATTAGGTTGATGCAAAAGAGAATTCAAAATGTATTATTAAATTTGGTAAGGCTTTCATAAGTTCAAATTAAAAATAAAGTAAAATGTTTGTGCAATTTTTAATAGAATCAATTTTTGAAATATGCAAAGCAAAAAGATAAGGATTAGTCAAATTAGGGTCTTTTTCTTTTTACAATTGTATTTTCATTTCTTTGATAAATCAGCTGAAAAAAGATTTGCTACTGATTTCTTTTTTGGCACAAGTATAGATTGAAAAAAAAAAATAATCAAAGACAATGAATACTAAATAGATCTTGAAAATGTCCTTCCACAATTACAAGAAACTATCACTCTTAAACATTTTTCTCTTAATATAAAATTTTTTTTTTTTTTTGAAGCATTAAATTGAAACTACGCACTGTCCGGTTTCTCTTTGTGACTGTCATCTGTGGTGATTTACTGGACACGGCAGAGTTGCTACTGTTGGTACCAGATTGACGTTGAGTGATCATAGGAGGAGATTCCTCACGTTTTTGAGGACTTGTTGAATATAAATCAAGAACTTGATGGCAAATATCTGAAAAAGAGAAACTGTGGCATTAAACATTTTTAGACATCTAGATTCAGATCTTGAAATGTATGTGTGCACACACATACCCATGTCTATAAAATCTTGACTCACACTCTTATAGGTTTATTTATTTTTAACTGTCATATCAGATATTAATAAAATATTAATTAAAAAAAAAATTAATTCAATCCATGAGCATTCTAATTAACATAAAACTAATACATCTGTGCTTCTTCCACATCTCTCTTTAACATATTTCTATATTGTTGTTGGTACATAAAATCATTGAGACCATTAAAAAAATAAAGACAGCAAAATTATTCTGTTCACCTAAAAGGCAATCACTAAAAATGATTTTAATAAATCTATTTTGAATCAAACACAGGCTTGATTTTTAGTATAGATTTGCACCAATTAGGTTAAAATACAATGCCAAATTATTGATTTCAACAGTATTGATGTTAGCATTAAAGCCATCTTTAGAATATCTAAGTGAAAGGCTTCTTCAAAATGACTCCAGAGATAAAAAGATGAAAATATCTTTAAATGTCAGCCATGATTTATTTGCATCATCATCATCTGAAGTGAATAATGGACCAAAAGCTAATTTACCTTCCATTAATTCCATGGTAATACCCTCGACAAACCATTCCCACCATTTCATCCGACTGCCAGGAGGTTTTCCTTCCCAATCTTGGATGTCAAATTTGGATAGACGACTAGCAAGATACATAAGGGACACAGCTATAATCTCGGCTTCCCACTGGAGACACAGTGTTGTACACAAACTGAAAAACATTTCATCAAATAAGGTTAGCAAAACAAAATTCAACAATTTAATAAGAGACTAATTAACCTGAAATCACACACGGCCAACAGACAAGGACACTGGTGGTGATGGACAAGTTGGAATATCCTCCAAAATGTTTGAAAAAAAAAAGATTCAATTCTGAAAAATCAAGAGGAAGCTGACACAGATCCTGAGTAAGAACTGAGGTTAGCTCATGATAAATGTAGAGACAGACAACTCAATGTTATAGTAAGCTAATACACATGTGTATGGCCTTATCAAAATTAAAAGAAGGTATTCTGAGATACATATTAAGAAAAAGAAACAGAACAACAATTGGCCTTGTTGGATTTACTAATAACACTCACAGAGTATGGGTTTAATAAATTTGTATATCATAAGCCAACATTTATTGAACAATAACTGATATCCCACCATTCATAGAGTGTCAAGAAAGGGATCATCTGCTGTCAACAACATTGGGTCAAACTCATAAGTGGTGTCCTAGACAAATACCAACAGATGTGACTAGCATTACAAACATCCTTTGAGGTAACAACTACTATAAAACCATGATATTAGCATCCACAAGCAGAGACAAAAAAGGGTTAAATACAACAATAAAAAATCTGCTATAGTCTGTCTACCATGCATAAAGAGTATATAATAACTGAAAAGATTAAAAAAAAAAAAAATCTACTATCCATACATCAGGAGAGTATTCAAATACAGTTCACTTCTCTGGAGATATTGCTATTGAACCAAGTTCGTCTCAGAAAAGAATGTGACCAAGAACTCTGTGAATAGATGTGTTCTCCAGTAGTATTACATCTAACTCAGACTGGTAGATGTAATACACACTGTTTAAAGTAAAAAAATGGGGCATCTTATTTCAAACATGGGTATCCACTAAAAAATAATGTTTGTAGCTATAAAAATGTTTGATTAAAAATAAATCGAGTAACTCTTTAGAAATTTATATACACACGTACACATACTTATATATATTTTAAGTACCAAGAATTCAACCAAGGTCAATTTTTTTTGTTGCACTTTTCTAATTTTGGAATAAAACGTACATCAGGATCAAAATTGGTGATAAACTACCCAAAGTTAATGTTTTTGTTCAAGCACTTTCAATCAAATTGGACAAGATTTTGTTGGTTACATCCCGACATCTTTTATAGTTCTAGAATTTGAATTATAACAAAGTAACATGGCTCCATTTAACAATTACTTTCCTGAGAAAAACCATAAAATGAATCAACCAAAATGTTGTGTTAATGAAAGTAACAAATAGTCTGAATAACTACTGAACTGAAATCCCCAAATGGTTGCAAAAAGTCAAGTTTCAAATAAAACTGCTGATATTAAGACACCTGACATTTTTATCATTAAAGAAGAAAATACAAACTACACACACACACACAGGGTGGAAAGTAATAATACTTTAAAAAGATATCAAAATGTATGAAAACATCTGAATACAAGAATTATAGAAAAGCATTAAATTAGACAACAAATATATTTTAAGTTAGGCAGATGAAGATCTTTGTCATACACAGGAGAATAAAAAACAGAAGATTCCTTATTGATAAGATAATTACTCAATGTGTTTATCATGTGAATAAGAACAAAAAGAAAATATTTTATAGGCTGCACCAGATTAACTACGAGCCATAGACAACAGGGCCCAAGATTTTAGGAAGATAAGTAGGCCCTGGTCAAAGAAAAATGCTTTTGGCCCAAGACAGGGTCATACCTGAGTGTGAAACCAAACTATACAGGAAAAAAAAAAATTAGTTTTATAACTGTATTGTGATGTGTTGGTTAGTTGGGTTTTATGGCATATCAACCACTGTAGGTCATTTAATGCCAAATTATATATATATATATATATATATATATATATATATATATATATATATATATATATATATATATATAAATATATATATATATAATATATATATATATATTAAATATAGCTGGCAACATTTTTGTTTTAAACGTATAGCTGGCAACATTTTTTGTTTTCCAGAAACGTATAGCTGGCAACATTTTTGTTTTCCAGAAACGTATAGCTGGCAACATTTTTGTTTTCCAGAAACGTATAGCTGGCAACATTTTTGTTTTCCAGAAACGTATAGCTGGGAACATTTTTGTTTTCCAGAAATGTATAGCTGGGAACATTTTGTTTTCCAGAAATGTATAGCTGGCAACACATTTTTGTTTTCCAGAAACGTATAGCTGGCAACATTTTTGTTTTCCAGAAACGTATAGCTGGCAACATTTTTGTTTTCCAGAAACGTATAGCTGGCAACATTTTTGTTTTCCAGAAACGTATAGCTGGCAACATTTTGTTTTCCAGAAACGTATAGCTGGCAACATTTTTGTTTTCCAGAAACGTATAGCTGGCAACATTTTGTTTTCCAGAAACATGGCAACATTTTGTTTTCCAGAAACGTATAGCTGGCAACATTTTTGTTTTCCAGAAACGTATAGCTGGCAACATTTTTGTTTTCCAGAAACGTATAGCTGACATTATTTTTTCAAAAACGTAGTGAGGTTTAGGAATTTGCTTTATTAACTTGTTAAATTTAATATCATTAATAGTCCCATGTGGTGGAATATAGATAGAACACATATTTACTGTTTTTTGCAATGTTGTTTTGACAGCAATTATTTGGAGTTCACTGTCTATGGTTATTTGGTGTTAACGTATGTCTTTCCTAACTAGGATCGATACACCTCCAGAAGCTCTGTGTCTATCTTTGTGTAAGTGATTGTATGAATTGTAATTTTTAATGTTTAGCTGGTTGGTGTCCTTGAGAAATGTTTCTTGAAGTCATACAACTTTGAGGTTATATTTATCAAGGAGTATTAGAAGTTCTTCATAGTTGGCTCTAATTCCTCTGCAGTTCCATTGTAGGATTGAATTATTTTGCAGTTTCATTATGTTAAATTAGATTTATTGTTTTTCCTAGATTTGTTTATATTGCTCAGCTCTTCAGTCTCCATCCTTTCTATCGAGCTAAATCTATTTTTGGTATCAACCTTTGATGTTGATAATTCTGTAGATTGACTTGTCAAGTTCGACAACTTTACCTGTTCCCGTGAGGATAAAGTTTGAGTATTGTCTATTTTAGATTGTAGGGCACGTTCTGTCTTATTATTAGGTTTGGGATTTAATGTTTGATTTTTCCCAAGATTGTCACTTTTATAAATAGGAGGACGGCTTGATGATTTCTGTGACTTTTGTTTCTTAGGAGAAGTGGTTTGTCTGCACTGTTGTTTTTGTAGTCGTTTTAGTGGAAGATTCTCCTTTGTCTTCAGGATTACTTTGAGTAGTTGGTATTTCTGAAACTGTAGCTGTATTATTTTTATGAAGACCACGCAAGGCTTTTAACTTATTAATAAAATTGTCCCAGTCTCCCAGGTTCAGCTGCATTAATGTTTTGACAAATTCTTCATATTTGTTCTGTTGTTTTTTTTTCCTGATAGACTACTTGGGAATATGTGGTAGTGTTCGACCCTACTACCATCTTCCATGCTTCTTAGTAAGGAATGTTATTTTTGTGCTTTATCGATACAATTTCCTTTTATCTTCTCCAACTGTCGCAAGATCTTGCGTAGACCGGATGATCACCACCACATCTAACACATTTATTGGGAAATTCACATTCATTCATGTGATGGTCAGGATCTTTTTGGCCACATTTCCCACACACCTTTCGTCCTCTATACGGGTCTTCATGATATCCATATTTTTGAAATTTATAACATCTCAGAGGGTTAGGCACAAACTGCTCGATCCTCTCCATGGTATAGCCTACTTTAATTTTCTCTGGGATTTTTGGTAAGTTAAATGTCATTATATAGGTGTTTGTTTCTATCATTTTACCTTCTTTTTTTTTATTGAAATTCGTTTAACATCTTGTTTTTTCAACTCTTTCTTAATTACTTCTATTGTACATAAAGATAGTTCTTTGCTTCTCACAACCCCCTTACTTGTGTTCAGGGATTTGCGAGGGTATGTTTTTACTGGAACGTTGTGGAACAGTCATTTTTAGTAGAAAATCTGCATGTTTCTTCTTTACCACCTCGACAAGCAGTGTCTTATTTTTCAATTTCTTGATAGTTAAAGGTGTTAAGTTGCCTGATATCACCTTTTCTATTATAAAGGAAGATAAATTTGTGATTGGTGAGCTACATGACTCTATAACAACAAATCTTGGAAAGGATGATTCTGTTTCATTATCTGAAGAAGAATCAGATTCTATATAACTGTATTTAAGTTTTTTATTTGTAGAGGAAGCCATACATATTTTTATATTTTTCGCTGGTCCCATGCTCCTCCAGCAACCATGGAGTCCAAGGGAATAAACCAAGGGGGATAAACCCATTCGCCTTGGCCGAGATGGGGATATAAAACCAGTATACTCACACCAAGAGTATGTTTCTGAACCTCTATCAAACGCTCAACAGTCTAATGTTGGTCAACAGTCAAATCTCTTGACACGATTGACCCTCAGCCCCCGCCTTCTAGCATATTTAATAGAGGGTTGGGACTAGTTCTGCAAGAGCAGATTGATAATTCTACATGAGCAGAGTGTATAACATGATTGGGAGAAAATAAAGACAAACATATAAGCTAGGGCATGTCAGGACTAGCCAATTGATCAGATCGGGCCTCTCCGACTGCACGTCTAGCCCAGATAAGAGCCAAAGTGTACCATGGCTGCTTTTTCGTGGGTCATGGATTGCCCAGTCACCAGGATTCCGTCTCCAGGCATTACAGGTTGCCACCCACGGCCAACAGGTGGCCCCATTGAGAGGCTTTTACTCTCTGCAGGGGAGCAGTCAACATATTCAGACACCCTGCCAACAGGGAGAAGGGCCTATTTAACCCATAAGTGGGACCCTAGCTGTTGGACGTAGTTTATCGTCATACCCAGGACAGCATGATGTGTTGGAAATTATCAGAGAACAGATGATAAAGAAAAGAGAGCAAGAAAGAGAAAAAAAATGTGATTGTGGATGGCAGCTGTGGCATGAGTTTTCATAAAATTAGATTTAATTGGAAATGCAAAGTGCATATACATGTACATGTGTGGTATGTGTGTGTGTGTGTGTGTGTGTGTGTGTGTATGAAATATCATGGGTGGCTCAGAGCCCATAGCAGTCTCAATCCAGCCCTGGTTATAACATCAATTAACATATCCTTTACTATAATCTTCACTTTTCAGAAAAACATTTTTTTAATATTTTATTCTGTAACTCTTCAAAAAAAAAAAAAAAAAAAAGTCAAACAAGTGCATTAAGAATTATAAGTTTCATTTTTCAACACTAAAAAATAAAATTTTATTGTATGTAGGTTGAAAAAAAAAAAATTATATTTGTCAAAAGGCATTAAGAATAAAAGGCATTTCAACTTACTGGTCATTGATAAACGTCCAAGCCATTTGAACCATTTTTTGGATCTTGTGTTTGTCCCCTGTAAACAAGTACAGATATAGTTTTTTTTGTTTTTTTCTTCTTAGCACTCACTTGAAGAAATTCAAAACATCTCAATAATTTGTGTAGATGCATATGAAGAAGTTCAGATAACACAAATGATTTGATTCTATTTAGCAGTAAAAGTGAAGCATTTGTTTGGGTTAATATCTCTACCAATAAAAGTAATAGCTACATTCATCAGTTGAATAATTTTAACAACTCTCATTTTTTTTCTGATTCAATAATTAACTTATACATTGTGTAATAATGAAAATGTCAACATTACTGGAGCCATTTGTATTACATTTATTTTTATTAAGAAAACAAAAAATAAAATCTTAACAAGCAGAAAGGTCATATAAAGACATGGTGAGCAAATGTTACCTTTCAATATTTTGGCAAATTTAAGAAGAAAAGTGTAAGGATGCTCAAGGCGAAGGTCAAATTTGATGGTTTGCAAAAGAATTCTTTCAAGAGTCATGACCTCTTCCTATAAAAAAAAATAAATTCATAACCGTATTTCCAGTCTTTAAAAATTCATATAATTCAATACTGGGACAGAAGACCAAATTAAAAATATAAACACATGTGTATGCAATTATTTTTTTACTTATTACAAATATTACAATTTCTTTCAAGTAAGAGGAAAAAATAAAGACAAATGAATTTGGTTAAAATTCATTACTGAAGCATTTAGTTACAGGTTGTCATTTCTAGAAATGCAACAGTTACGAGTTTTACAATAAATTTTGCTCAAATTCCTGACAGTCATATTGTTTACAAATTTAATTATCATTACTGGTGGTAAGGGATAAAAAAAAAAAAAAAAAAACTTATGGTTAAAACTGATTCCTTTGCCTAACCTCTTAAATGACTAACTCTTCACCTGGTAATTAATCTTTGTCTTTTTAGGCAAGTCAGTGCAGATAAAAGGAACAAATGTATAGTAGACTCCTGTTTAAAGAAGTCAGAACAATGTTTAGACAATATTTCCTTACATTATCTGAGAACAGAACGAAACTTAATTTCATTCAGTGTGTGTGTGTGTGTGTGTGTGTGTGTGTGTGTGTGTGTGTGAGTGAGTGAGTGAGTGAGAGAGAGAGAGAGAGAGAGAGAAGATTATATGTTGATTCCATGCAACCCTGGCTACTGGAATAAATACTAAATTTCTCCTTGAATTTTTAAGCAATCATAGATTATTGATTAAACAGGGATGCATCTAAACTTCTTGCCATTATGTATCTGAATGATAACCCTTTTTTCCTTCAACCCATTTTCAAAAAACACATTATGTGCATTACACAAAGACCCAACCCAGTATAACGATCTTCAATCCAAAGACACTTAAAAATTCAAGACTTTCTAACAAATGCAAGAGTTAACCTTTTTAGTTTAAGAGTTTGCTAAGAGCTTATCAAATAATGTAAACCAAAATGATAATTATGAGTTGAATAAGTTGTATAAAATTATTTTTGGTTAAGATTCAATTAAATGAAGTAAGACGCTTTTGTATGAAAATGCATTTTTCTTATGTAGTTTCTTTTGCTTTGTTCAAATATATTGATTTTTTTTTATTTTTGAGAGATAGTAAATTTTAAAGTAGAATCAAATGGAATGGTTTTAATCGGAGTTCAACTTACAATATAAGTATAATATTACACTGAAACCTGACGGTCTGAATTTATCACCACTGATGCTTAATTTAACTTCTGAATTGAATGTAGAATTGTACTCTTTGAAACTCCAAGTAAATTTACATTTGCACCTGCCTCAGAGACACAAGTGACATTGTCTGCCATCATACCTGACCTAGACCACATAATCTGTGATGGTGGGAAAAATGAGTAACCATCCTTGATCAAGGAAATTAAAAAAAGATAATGAGAGAAAATAAAATAGGAATACAAAGAAGGCAAAGACTGTCATGCATATAGCTTGCTTCAGTAATTACCCACCTTGTGAAAAAGAAGTTTCTAGCTTAAAACTACTGAAGTAGTTGTGTCCAAGAGGCGCCTTAAAAATAACATCAGCAGAAATCAAGGAAGAACCAGAAAGCTTCATTAGCAACTGACCAGGAAATTTGTACGCATTTCAGCCAGAAGCATGTCATCAGTGAGCGTGTTCAATGCCAGTTGATTACTGCTTAAACCAGACAAAATAAATAGGCCGACATTGTTAAATTTGAATCTGAAGTGAACAAAGAGGCCAGTTATTCAGACATGCTCAATGCTGCAAAATCTGAATTTGAATAAAATGTAAAAAAAAAAAAAAAAATCTTTTTGGTTGCTGCAATATGCACACCAAGTGGACTTAGCACCTTTCATTATAGTGACATAATGTCATCTTTAATGTGAGTGGATAATCACATTTGATATTACTGTTCTTCTTTTAATGTTTAAGCAGATAAAAGTGCATAGTATTATTAATTTTATTTGATGAAATGATTTGGAAGATTATGTAGTGTGACGTTGTCCTATTTACATTATCAATACATTCCATAAATATCATTATTACTTGTCTTTACATCTCTCTGTTGGCATAAACGCAGACAAACCAGGCATCCATGATAGCTCATCAATGTTCCATTGATTGCTTGATAAACTTTATAAAATTTCCTAATTTCAGTTTGTTGAACACAAATTAAATCATAATCATTCTTCAAGTGATATTTTACCAGATTCAAAACACAAATATCTCACATTTACATTTGTGTTTTACTTAGTTTTTTCTTTTTCTTAAATTTCCCAGTGTTGACCTATAACATCCAGCAGTACAATATGCAAGCTACAATCCAGTTCAAGCATGCTATATTCAAATTCTCTCTTGTGTGTGTGTGTGTGTGTGTGTGTGTATATATATATATAATACGCAAGAAATATATTCAAATTTTTAAAAGATAGGATTTTTTTCAAGTCTAAAGTTAATTTGGCATTTAATCTTTCAAAATAATTTTCATATTTAACTGACAGCAGAATATGTAATCAGATTTGACAAAAAAAAATAAACAATTCTGAAGAAAGACAAATATAATTGAATGTAATATCCAGCTACAAAAAAGTGTCTCAAATACATGAGCAACCTTTTAAATCAATTTTCTATTAATATGTGTCAGTGAAAGTTGCTCACCTTTGGATCATCTCCAAACACAGCAAATTGTTGTGGTGTCAAAAGAGACTGACAAATTTTAATAATATCTTTACATTTCTTTGGGGTTTCTTCAACCTTCCCAGCAAGGAATAAACAGCATGCTCCTGTTACCTGGAAAAGACAAAAATCAATATCATTGACAATCACTCGACATCCTTCAATCTATGGTGCCACATGTTTACTGGGAAAACCTGACGGAAGACATTGCCATCCACTGCTGAAGGAATACTGGCTTAAATGACATCCAATGCAGAAGGTACCAAATACATAATCCAACAGGTCAGCTCAGTGTTTTTGTTTTGCTTCCTCAAGATGTCCCTGTTAACACTTTGACATTGGACACAATGTCTCATTTAGACTTGCGATGTCATTAAGTGAACCCTGGAAGACAGCCAACATGTGATGTTGTCCAATGCGTTACAGTTGTTTCAAGTTGCTGGTACAGTTCAAGTGTGGCACAGACCCTACTTGTCAATGTAAACATTATGCAGGATGGTGATGGTTTTAGTCATTTCTCCCCAAGCAAGACAATAAAGCCACTAAGTAGCAATGGGTACTGAGCGTTAGAGAATATGAGAAAAACAATACTATTAAGGAGAACAATAAAAAAAAACCAGGAATTAAGAAGAGAGATGATAACGGTTGACATTGATCTTCAGAAATTTAAGTGCAAAGGTAACTGGGAAGCAAGAAGAGAGTTCCACAAGCAAGAAGTGCAATAAAAGAAACTTAACATAGAACTTATGATTACATCTAGTCATTTCAATGGTAAAATAATGAGAACGTACTGCCAATCTAGTACTACACTTAAATTCATAAAGTCTAGGTGCCAAAGAAGAAAGCTCATAAGAGCAATTAACATAAAAGTATTTATAGACAAGGCACAGGGAAACTATATTACAAAGGTGGAAAAGTCATTGAAACTGAAATGCCAGGTCCAATAACATTGCAGATTCGTTTTTGGGATTTTATGAAGAATCTCTAAATGGGGAACCAGACCAGATGTGGCAGCAATATTCAAAACAAGGAGAAATAGTAGACTTATAAATATGCAAGATAAATTCCGGCAAAAAAATTAAAAAAAATGTCTAACTGGACACAGTGAACCAACTTACCAAGCAGCAAACCTAGCAAATGATTCAATATATAATCTTTCCACTTGATGTCAGCAGTTTGAGAAGATACAATGAAACTCACCAGGAGTTTAGCAGCAGCCATTATTTCATCAGGACACCATACCAGCAGGTCTAAGTTGTCCAGAATTCATTTGAGGAGCATTTTGGAAACTTGACAAATGATGAAACTAAACATGAGCCCAATTGAGCTTTTATGGGATGGGGTTGGAAGGCCCATTTTCAAGCAAGATAATGCAACTACAATTATCAAGGAGCTGTGGGCAGCCATTGAAATGGCATAGTTCCACATTTCCCTAGAGATCTTCCAATCACTTGTGGAGTCAATATCAAGTAGTTGCACTTCATCAGGCTAAAAGAGGGTTTACTTGATACTAAGTCCATATCCCATCATTTTTGTCATGTTAGTATAGTGTGTGTATAATCCAGTTTTTCTTCATGAGAGAAAAATATTCTAATGCATATCTGGACAAATGGCAGTATCTGTTAAGAGTCATAAGTCCCTAATGTGGCAAAATATGGCACCAACAGCTGTAGCAACAAAGTAAAGCAAAACCTCTTAAATTTCCATAAACTGATAAAAGTATTTTCTAGTATAAGAGAAAAAGACAACCAACCCTATGCAAAACATTTCCAGTAGAAAAGGCAGTGAGACAGAAAAACAGGTTAGTAGAAGAGACATCAGTTTTCTCTTTGAAATAAAAGTGAGAGTGATATCTCCCAAAGTATTAGCAAAACACACACACACCAATGCTAAACACTGCCCTGCTCCCAGGTCAAGTATATTAGCACTGAGTTAAAGTTGGCCAAATCTTCAATTACTGTTATGACAAGTCATCAAACTAGCTTAAATTTTGCAACTATCTGTACTCATGAATAAATTTCTGATTAGTATTTCCTTTATTTTAATTTTACTTTTTCATTACAACTAGTCAAGCTATCAGTCTATAATCATCAATAAAGAGTGCATATTGAAATATCTAATATTACTATAAACACTTTCCTTGTCAATGCACTTAATTCAATGGCAAATATTAATCACACAGAACAAACATTTTATAAAATGATAAATTCAGATCAAAATTCAATTAAGACGATGTACTTATCTTTGCTACTTGATCTTTACTTTGCGTATACACCACATTTGGGTTTTCTAAAATTAACAAGCAAGCAGCTTCTCATTAAGATCACTATCAGTTAACAAAAGTCAATGAATAGCAGATATAAATGCATCTGAAAGACAATAAGAAAGACAACTCTAGCATTTAAAAGAGCTGTTGACTTTTTGTGAGAAAATTTGTTAGCAGTAAACAAGAAGTATTTACCCTCTCTCCAACATTAACTTTCTGAACAAAGTTTTTAAAATCTTTTATTTATGCAACTTTTAGATCCTTTCAATTTGAAAGAAAGGACTTCTTTCAAACAGAAAAGGTCTAAGACTTGTAGAAAATAAAAGACTTTCAAAATTTTCTCTATCTTTATCTTGTGTGTGTGTGAAATAGTAAAAGAAATGTCCAGGTCAACAAAACCCTTTCAACTTTCTACATCTGTAGACATTCCACACCAAAGTTTTGGCCATTATGGTAGAACCACACCACACTCAGATCTCTTTAATACTCAGATTATGACAACATATTTCTACTTACTCTCAGAGCTAGTTAAAATATGAAAAATTATTTTTCCATTTAGAAAAACCTTTTTCAATTAAGAAAAAAAATAAAGCATTAATTTAATACTACACTCAACAAAGCAATAAATATTCATTTGCCTTATGGCAAAAAATAAGTACAAGTTTTTTGAAAAATATTAACTTTTTAAAAAATAGTTTTGAGAGCAAAACAAATCAATTTCTTACAAGTCTGAAAATGACAGTAAAAAAAAAAAAAAAAAAAAACAATATTACTTACATATCGATGGAATTCACGAAAAGAATGAAACATATAGAACCTATGAAAGTAGACAACGCCAGTTCCACATGTATCAAATCTTCTATGGTAGTTAGTTAAGGATAAGTAGAGAGACAAATATCAATTTCAATGTCAGCAATTGATACAATGTCATTTAAAATATAAAAAGACAATAAAATGCATTTTGACTGAAAAATGAATATTATTTTAGAAAATCTAAGATTAATTCAATAAGTAATTGAAAAATTTTTTTTACTTTATATTGACGCCTGATGGTGCCTGCCTGTAGAATATGTCATTTATGGGAAAAGATAATATTTAAAAGTAAAAATCTACAATGAACAAAAAAAATAAAAATAAAAATCTTTTGTTAAGACATACAGGATGCAATGAGTAAATTGTGGCCATTTTATATTATTTAATTTCATGCATATGCATTGTTTTAGATTTTGTCAACTACACAATATAGTAGGATCAGTGGCACACTGAGAGAAAAAGAGCACCATGATACAATTCACTCCACCAGAAATTTGGAAACAGCATACTGTACTGCTTGGCATTGGCACTGGAAACTCCAATACAAAACATTTCAGAGTGTTTGTGTCAAACTGAGAACAGTGCTGAGGATTCAGAAATAGTTTGATGAGTCTAATAGTGATTACGAAGGTATGGCAGCTCGGAAAATCCTAAGAACTACCAAATTTGTTGGTGAGGGCCTCAGACTCAACATGGAGGCATACATCAAATTTCTTGATTCAAGAGAGTAGCTGATGGAAGACCCTATGTCTGTCAACAGGACTCTGCACCATGTTACACAAGCAGGAGAACCCAGTCATGGCTGTCAGATTCCCCAGACTGCAACCCCCTTAATTATGTGTTGAGTGAGAGACCAACAAATCTCCTTGTAGCACCAAAGATGAACTGAAGGTAAGGATTATGGCAGCATTCAACAACCTAAACAAAGAGACTGTCCAGAAGAGTTGCAGGAGATTCTGAAGTCATTTGGAGCCCATGGTTGAAGCCAATGGTGATTCTATTGAATAAATTCACTCTTTACTATTTCAAGATATTTTTTGTCTAATTTTGGTAAATATATGTTAAAATGAGTAAACAGGAGTTTTTAAGTAAATAAGAAATACTTGTTACAGCTGACCTAACTCTGTAAATTGCAATTAAAGTAATTTTTATGTTTCAATTTATTTTTTTTTTATTTAGAATATTTTATATTAAGTTTTGCCAATTATTATTTTTACTCTTATTTTTTTTCATCTTAGTTCCCCACTCTCAAATTGCCATTAGCAAGTAGCATCAATCAAAAACAAAGAAAGTTTTAGAACTTGCACCCTTTATCCTTGGGATAGATATGATCCTAGGATTACCAAAAAATAAAAAAAAAAAAACATCACACTTCTCTTGAAAAAGATGCATATACACACACATATATATATATATATATATATATATATATATATATGCCTGTATGTACGTATGCATATATGTGTGTGTGCGTGTGTGTATAACACACTACTGCACTCAGTTTTGTCAAATGAAAACACCAAGATTGATTTAAAGAGAATAAGTTTGTGGATTTTTAACAGCATATCAGCTCTTTAGAGTCATTAAACAGAATAAGTTACTTGGCAAGTCCCTCTTGAAGAAAAAGAAGAGGTTCATGTATGATAAAGTACTGTGCCTTTCTCAATGCATTGTAAAGAACATAAAGAATTCAAGGAGTAATAATGCTAAAGTCCAGTGAGAGCTGTGTACAGCAAAGGATACATGGTGACACAAAAATTCCCTTGAGACACTGTCATCAACTGAAAAATGAGACTCAAGTACAATGTACCACCATCTATGTGCAGTCATTGGCCCACTTTCATCTGCTCTTTGTACCTTTGAGAGCAAAACTGTATGAAATTAAGACCAGACACAGATAATATTTTAGTGAGGTGTTGAATCATATGTCAGTAATCAGCCTTGCTGTTCTCTACAGGCAAACAAGCTCCTGTAATTCACATGCTTGATGACCTACTGACCAGAGGTGAAGCTGTAGTTGTCAAACTGGGGAAACCCCCAAGGTGTAACGACATACCAGCAGAACTGATAAAGCAAGGCAGAGGAGTAATACTGGAACTGCTTTGTACCATGGATCACTGGGTGTGGGAGAAAGGTAAAATTCAACAAGAGTAGAGAGACACCAAACTTGTGTCCTTTTATAAGAAAGGATCCAGATATATACAATAACTACTGTGGGATATTCCTTCAATCTGTTGTGGGAAAGATCTTTGCAAGGATACTTATGAAACATTTGCTGCATGAATGTTTGTTTTTCAAAGGCAGGTATTATTAGTCACAAATAACTTCATAAAAAAAACACTGTCTACCAATATAACATCCAGCTTGATATCTCTTGCAGCCTCAGTAACAAGTATGTAGATCAGCCAAGGGACTCACACATCAATATGGATGCCAACTTCCAGAAAGCCAAGCTGTTTCAGGAATACTGATATGCAATAAATGTGGTGTGACATGTAAGACCCTTGCATGTCAAATAAGTTACATGAGATGTCATCAATGACAAGATGTATGCCAACATGAGCATGTTCTCATTGAGAATTGAGTCAAAGAAGTGGTCATATTCAGTCACAAGTTGACTTTCACTATATACACAAATGTGTGTGTGTGCACAAGTATATATATATAATTTTTACATGTGTGTGTGTGTATATATATATATATATATATATATATATATATTGTAACCGGTACAAGGAAATTCCCAGGTTGGTGTCTGGGGGCGCGGTTATACCACTAAGAGAAGGAAACTCTTACATCAAACCTGAGGGCTGTTGTCTGCTTGTTCTGTGGCAATTAATTTGCAACCGAATGAGTTAATCAACAGTTCCAAAAGTGTGGATGGTCCCACATGAGCCTTCACCACTTAAATCAAATCCTTTTGTGTGGGTTTCTGACGGCTTATCATAATTTCACTATGAAAACCTAAGACTGTCCCAAAAGAAGTCCACTGGCGATGGAGTGAGAGCGACGGGGACAGGTAAAGGATATTACTGGAAGTCTTCAGCCGGATCTCTGCACAGTGGCGGCTGATGGTAGAGCAATTGTGCTGTTCGTGTCCTCCATCAGTGAAAAAGCAGCCCTATTTAGGGATAGCACTGCTTTCCCCATGCCGGGGAGGGGGCGATAAAAGGAGCCCTAAAAATTGCTTGCTCGCCACTTAACTTGGCAGCCCATTGCAGCTGTCTGGTTATCCAGTTTGCGCAGTCAGAACAATAGAATACGACACAAAAACCTCAACAAAGAATCTCTCAATAGGGTGTTGGAATGTCCGCACCCTCCAGGATAATGATGCTGCACCCGGAGCGCAAGACAGCCCTTGTTTCTCTTGAGTTACAGAGGTATGATGTTGACATTGCTGTCTTATGTGAAACTCGCTTGCCTGGCAATTCTCAACTTCAAGAGGAAAAGGGTGGATATGACTTCTTTTGGTCAGGAAAGGCAGAAAACGAACCCCGCCAATTAGGCGTTGGTTTTGCCATTAAGTCCAAGCTTGCAAAGTCCTTATCGCTTTGCCCAAAGGCATATCTGATCGTGGTGGCAACTCTTTCCCTAGAATTGGAAGGAAACACCAGGGTGACGCTAGTTAGTTGTTACGCCTCAACATTAGCCAGTTCAGATCAAGAGAAAGATGACTTCACGATACCTCCATGATGTCCTCTCCAGAGTTCGACACCAAGATAAACTCATTCTTGCTGGCGATCTCAATGCTCGTGTTGGTAGTGACCATCTGTCTTGGACTGGTGTGCTTGGTAAGCATGGCATAGGCAAGGTAAATGGAAATGGTTTATTTACTTCTTACAATCTGTAGGAGTTTGACCTCTGTATTACCAATACCATATTCAACAACCTGTACACCGGAAGGCGACATGGATGCATCCTCGTTCGAAAAGATTGGCATCTTATTGACCGTCATAACAAAGTGGAAGCACATGAGTGACTTCAAAATCACTCCGCTCTTTCCACACTTCTTGCTATCTTTCGGATCATGCCCTTCTCCAAGTAAGTTGTCGTTGCATGTGCGAAGGCACAGAGTTACAAGATCAACAGTCCCCAAACGCATTGATGTGCGCCCTCTAAATCCAGGGAAAAGAAAATTGAGCTCTCCAATAAGCTTGATGAAAACCTTGAGGGTGTTGATGTAACTGATGATGTTGAATCTTCTTGGAAAGCATTGCGAGAAGCAAACTCAAGCTGCAGCAGTAGAAGTCCTTGAATACCGAGAAGAAAACACCAGGATTGGTTTGACTTAAAAGTGACGATGAAGTTAAAGCACTGATTAACCAAATGCACTCGTCTCACAAATGTTGGATTGAGGACAAAAACTCAACAGTGAAGCACATGGCCTACAAAGAGTGTAAAGGTGAGGGTACAACGAGCTCTCCGAGCTATGAAAGAACGATGGTGGTACAATAAGGCAATTGCACTGCAGGAAGCTGCTGACAGCAAGAACACGAAAGCCTTCTATGATGGTCTGAAAGAGGTATTTGGTCCTCAGGAAAGTGGTGCTTCCCCATTGAGCACAGCTGATGGAGAGGCATTGCTGACTGATAAATCAGATATTCTCAATCGTTGGAAGGAGCACTTTGAAACCGTCTTTAAACACCTCATCTGTCATTGATTTAACGATGTCATGTCCTCTATTCCTCAGAATCCAGATATTCCAGAATTGTCATTGGAACCTGCTTATCAGGAGGTATGGGAATCCATCAAACAAATTGCTTCTGGCAAGTCCCCATCACCAAAGGATCCAATTCCACCTGAAGTGTACAAGCATGGTGGGCATGCGCTGGTAAAAAGCTCCATGCTCTCTTTGTAAAGATATGGAAAGCAGGCCCGAAGTTCCACAGGACTACAAAGATGCCTGCATCAAACATCTTTTACAAAAATAAGGGAGTCAGGAATGTTTGTGACAACCATCGGGGATATCTCTGCTTTCAATTGCAGGAAAGATTCTGGCTAGGCTCATTCTAAACCCAATCATGAAGCGTCCGCCCGTTGATAAGGTGTATCCAGAGTCCCAGTGTGGGTTTCCGGTCGGGTCACGGCACCATTGATATGATATTTTCCTTACGTCAGGTGGCAGAAAAGGTCCGTGAGAAAAAAAAATCAGGAATTGTATATGGTGTTTGTTGACCTGACTAAAGCCTTCGACACTGTGAATCGTGATGCTCTTTGGCAAGTTTTAAGAAGGCTTGGTATTCCAGAAAACATGCTGAACGTGATCATTTCATTTCACGAGGGGATGAAGGCCAACGTTGTCTCAGATGGTATGATGTCTGATCCATTTGATGTTACTGAATAGAACAAAACAAGGATGTAATGGCGCCAGTCCTCTTTTGCGCTCTTTTTTTTCGCTGATGCTGAAACATGCATTTAGTGATTTGGACACTGGTGTCAAGTTTCAATTTCGGTCATCCGTGGCTTATTTAACCATCAACGGTTTAAGGCCAAGACTCTTCTTCGCACCGAAATTATTCGGCGACTTTGTTTTCGCTGACGATGCCGCACTGGTAGCCACATCCTTTGAAGAAGCCCAGGTTCTTCTTGATCGTTTTTCAGTTGCGTGCAGGGCCTTTGGCCTGACAATTAGCATAAGGAAGACTGAGGTAGTGCATCAGCCACACCCTACTCCAAAAACAAGTTGAAGGCGTAAAGCAAAATCCACCAGAGTATAGATTTCCTGCGGCGCAAGCTGAAAGTCGACGGTCATGATATCAATTATGTCAAGTCCTTTCCTTACCTTAGTAGCAAAGTGAACCCTAAGCGGTTCTCTTGACGATGAAATTGTCAACAGGATTGCTAAAGCCACTTCTGCCTTTGGAAATCTTCGCCATCACTTGTGGAACGAAGGGGTATTCGACTAGACACAAAAATCCTTGTCTACCATGCTGTTGTTCTTTCCGTTCTTCTTTATGGATCTGAGTCATGGACCCCATACAGACATCGCATTAATCAGCTGGACGTTTTCCACAAAAGCTGTCTATGCGCCCATATGTGGTCTTAGCCTCCGCGACAAGGTATCAAATGCGAATTATTCACAAGATGCAAAATATCTGGCATTGAATCATTCCTTATTCAATCGCAATTGCGGTGGGCTGGTCATGTCTTGAGGATGCCCGGATGACAGAATTCCAAAATTGCATGTACAGTCAGCTTGAAGGTGGTAAAGAAATGTCGGACATCCTTGGTTTAGGTACAAGGACAAGTTGAAGAGTAACTTGTCTGCAGTGAACATACCATACAGGAGTCTTGAAGATGAAGTGAGTGACCGCATAGGATGGAGATCAAGGTGTTTTTGAAGGTCTCCAGAAGTTACAGTCTGAAAGCTTAAGCCAACTGAAAGAAAAGAGAAAGAGCAAAAACGACTGGCAGCCGCACCAATGTCTGCAGCGTTAAATCCACATTCATGTTCTATTTGTGGCCTTGTTTGCAAATCCCTTGCTGGACTAAAAAGTCATCAGAGGCAAAAGCATAAATGAATTTTATAAATATGGGTTGTCCGAACCTCATACGTCGAAATCGACGGGAGAGTCCATCATATATTGTAAACTTGTAGGAAAAAAATTGACGCTAAAATGTTTAAAACGATCTTTTAAGTATTGATTTTAAAATATATTTAATTTTCTTTATATATATTTATGTTCCTTCAATAATCTAGAAATGACAATTATAAAAAAAAAAAAAGATAAAAAGTAAACTGCTTGATTTTTATAATTTTGAAAAATGTTTCTTACATGTTTATGCAATCAGTATATTTGGAAGCTTATTCTTAAACAATAAATTATGTCAGTTTTATACAAACTGTCACTAATTGACAAAAATAAATCACTCACAATGAACAATCTTTAATGAACATGAGTTGGTGAATCAAGAAAATGAATTATGAAAATAAATTTTTGTTTTTGCTTACAAAAAAATTTCTTGGGTGTTTTACATGACAGTAATCTATTTTCATTTCCATTTGTTCACTTGTAATAAAATAGGTTGACATCAAAGATTTTCAAGCCAGCAAAATAAATATGGTGCTTAAATGGGTTAGAATTACTTATTTCAAATCAGTATATAATTTTTTTAGTATACAAGCCTGTAATTATTTGTTGTTAACATAACTTGAACACTGTTATTTATTTGTGTATATATATATATATCATTTGTGGTCATCAATACATTGTCGGTCACAAGACTCAAATAAATTTAAGTACATTTTCTAAGCTCTTGATTTCGAGATACTGACAAGCACCAACACTCAAAGAAAAAAGCATTTTTCAATATTTAAGTAAAATTTAACATTTAATCAAAATCTGGTGAAATAAGTGTTAATTCATTGTTGGATTTTTTTCTTTTATTTTGATATATTTTCAATTAAATTTACATTTAAGAGTTGTTGACAACTTGATGACAGGATAATTTGGGGTTTTAAAAAATATTGGCTTAAAAAACATTCTCAATGTATACAAAAGTATTTTTAATGACTAATTTCAGGTACTGTCACACACTTTTTAAGCAATTTTTTTTTTAAAGTAATGCAATAATTTACATATTCCCCTTGAAACATAAAAGCCCCCCACCTCCCCGCAAAGAAGCTGAAAAAATATTTGATGTGACATGTTGTCACCAATTAAGAAGCTCATAAAGATTAGAAAATGATGTAGAGATAAACTGTAAGTGCAAACATGGACTGACTGAGAAGTAATTAAAATAGTGATTAGATTATTTCTTATATACACTGCAAAATGACAGCAAATTTAAAAAAAAAAAAAAAAAAAAAAATTAAAAAAAAAATATCATCCAAAGGACTTTGTTAAATTTTACATTTCTGGATTAGAAAATTACCCTATTTAATAACATTTCAGAAATGTAGAAAAGGCATCATAATAAATTTTAATACATTAATGGAAATAATTTAATACATTAATGGAAATAAATCTTTTTCTTAACAAAAAAAAAAAGAAAAAAAAAAAGAAAAAATTTATTGCAGTTTTTATTTCATTGAGAAATCCTCTTTCATAATTAAATTCATTCATTCATTCATAATGAACTTGTTCCAATAATTAGTAGATTTTTGATAATTTTTTTAAAATTAAAGTGTATTTCAACTATAAATGATCCACATTATTTCTACAGGTATGTGCAAATGACTCTTCAAAGACAAATATCTCCAGTTCTGAACATGGGATACAAATATTTTTTTCCAAACAGCATAAAGATTATTTTGACAAAACTAACAAGTCACAAGTTTCTGGCATTTATACCAACATATTGCTTGTTTTCAAAAGTCTCATGTTGTTCCTAACTTTTTGCCATTTTTCTTGAAATTAAAACCCCAAATATATTTAAATTACTGCAATATGCTCTTAAATTTTAACTAACAAGTTCATAGTCATATTTATTTAAGTATAAAACCTTTTTACATGTGGAATTTGTTTTTCAAAATACAGCAAGAAAAAAAAAAAAACTTTTCTGTATATATTCTGAATACTTAATTCATTATGCTAGACTTTTTTTTTTTGAAGAAATCTTAGCATGAAATTAGAAGGGTCAACACAAATCACTGCTATGATAAAATCTCCTCACTTAAAATTCAAAGCAAGACAAAACTTACATTAAATTAAAACATGATAAAAATATTTTTAAGAAAAAGTGTTCACCTGGTCTTATATTCTAACTATGGATTTTTAAAGCTCCATTTTTTGGTTTTTGTAAATGTATTAGAAAATGTTTCATGGTATTAATAAAGAGTATTGAGAAATAAGTACAAATTACAAAAGAGATGCTAAGTTCATTTTACCTATTATTATACATAATGCTGGCAATTTGTCTTTTTAAAACATCTTTTAAAAGAAATTTATCTCTGACAGAAACAGATGCATAACACAATATATCATTACAAATATAAGAGTGAAAAAAAAAAATCCTGTCCTTCATTTTGTGTTTTTTTCATTACAGTCATAATGAATGTACATCAGAGAATTGTTCATAAACTGGATATAAGAAAAATTATAATATAAAAATTCCGTAGATTATTTTTCTTTACGAAGTTTTGGCATACACTTAAAAATAGAATAATGATACATAACTTGAGATTTAGTCATCAATTCATGAAGAATTTTCTATTTGAAATAAAGCAAATTGAATTTGAAAAAGATTTGTTTTGACAAGTAAAATTAAGCATCTACCATTTTAGTATATATTTAAGTGGTTGAATTTTCTATAGAAAAAGAAAATTCCTTAACTTAAAACAAAGAGGAAGATTTTCTTTCCTTTTCTGAAGCATTTGCCTCCATATATTTTTTTTCAATATCATAAAAAATTCTTGTCCAGAATATTCAATAAAGAAAGTAGAAAGAATCAATATAGTCAGACATTTAAACTATGGGTGCTACTGTAACTTTTACACATTTCACAATATGCAAATATAGTTAAGAACATATTTTGTAGGGTGCATGGAAGAAAAGGATACAATCCCATTTTTGTCCCAGCATCTAAAATGAAACGAGCACCTTCTCGGCGATATCTTGCTTCTACCTCAGGTGAAATGCCATCTTGGTAGGAGGCAGTGTTGCGCAGGTCCTTTTTTTCATAAAACCAACACGGCATTGTTCTGAAACAGAAAATTTAATGACAGCAAATATTTTGCTCATATTAAGTTTATGCCAAGAAAAATGTTCAGTGAATCAAACATCTCTTCATCTTTACATATGAGAAACAAAATTATTGATGTTTAAATTTTTGTATTGGCTGTTTTTTAAAAAATTGAAATTGTAGAACTACTGTCAACATAGAATGTGCTTCAATACCTATATTTATAAACAAATATATAACTATATAAACATATATTTAACAGTAGCACTACAATCAATTCTGAGAATTAATAATAATACATTAGTCATTAACAAATGTTTAAAAAAATAAATATAATTACATTTTATAAAAAGTGAGATGAAATAATGGTTCTGACCATCTTTTAACAAAATATAGTTTGATATCAAATACAACGGGGGAGGGGTGATGAAATCAATCCAGCCAACTTCTCAAATATCAGATATTTTTAATCCCTTTTTAGAACTTATCTTGCATCCTTTTATATTGAAGTTTAACCAGATTTTAAAAACAAAAAAGTAATTAAATTTTGATAATGGCATTTTAATACATTTAATCTTAATATTGTCAGAATTTTTAGTACTTTAAGTCAAATTTAATGAAAAAAAAAAAATATATAATTAAAAATAAATTAAAAAAAAAAAGGGTTTAAAACACAAATTTTAGTGGCAAGGAGCCAAGATATGCTGGTCCAATTTCTTAGTTCCTTAAGTTAAACACTCACACAACAAATCTAAGCTTCAGCACTCAACAGTAACTTTGTTTTTAATTTTTAACAATTGTTGAAAATAATCTTGTTCAGGACGGAGGCGATTGTGGCTTTCCACAACTTTCTTTTATCTCTACTCTAAAACTGTAGCAAAGTGTAGAGTTTGCTACAAATATTCTTCAGAAAAGTAGTGGAGTGATTTGCTTTTTCCACTGTTTTAAATTCAGTATTCTTCTTTCTAAACTAGTTGTCCCAACAAGGCTAGAAAACCCAGTTAGCCCTACTATTTTAATTTTACTCATAGCTGAAAGAGTAGATGAATTCGGACTTTTCCTCAAATATAATAATGCGAAGAGAACAACAGTCTTGGCTAGAATTTGAACTCGGCCTGCTAATTTCATTTTTTCCCGCACGGTAAACTATACGCCACGTATGGCCATGGACCACAGTGAAGGGTACATAGCTGTGAAAGTGAAATTATTGAATAATTTTTGTCTTCGCTTACTGAAATAAAAAATTATGGGCGAGATTAATATTCAGTTTCAAAACTACATAAAACAATATCCATTTAAAATCTAATTTCTCAGGCTTGAGGAGTACTTTGACAATTTGTTGCAATTAGGTAAACAAACAATATTAATTTAATTAAAAAGGATGTTATTGTTATGTAATTGTGCCCCCCTCCTGAACACACAATTGCTATTCAATTCATCATTAATGGCTTGCTCTCTAAAGATCTCAGCTTCTTTTAGAAAATAAAATATAGTTGTGATAAATAAATTTTTCAAATTTCAGAGTTTTTCATAAAAAAACCTAACTTTTTTACTTTTAAAATTATGGGAAGTATATTCCTAGAAAATACTACTTTCGGAAAAAGAAATTTGTTTTTGATGAGGATGTTTGTTACTTGCTTCTGCATTACAAAAAAAAAATAAATCAATCGGATATTAATAAACCACATTTTTTAATGGTCAAGTAAAAAATACTATTGATAAATATTCAAAATTATGTAAATTGTCAAGAAAACATTTTTCGGTTAAATTAAATTTCATCCCGAAAAATTAAATTGGTTACGTTTTAGTATGATCAAGCAGGAGTCTTTTGATATAACAAAAAAAATGTTTTGAAAAATAATAAAATGTTAAAGTTAAACACTTCAAACAGTTATTATTAACGTTTTCGTTTTGAATCATTAAGTTTCTGTTTAATTGGTAAGAAGGCGGAACATTTTTATTAAACTCGCAAAATCATCTTCAAATCTATTGAGGAACAAACAATAATGTTTATATATGCAGCTAATTTAAATTACCTGCATATAAAAAAAAACATTTTAAAGTAAAAGGTACTTTCAACATTCATTAATATCCAAAACACGTTATTTTACTGGGGAAAAACAGAAATAGACCATTAAACTACACAATTTATTTGTTGAACAATGACATGGAACAATAACGATTTCATTATGTGAATAACTGACCTTATCACTTCTTAAACTTAAATTAAGTCTTTTTTATGTGTTGTAGGTAACAACATTGTAAAACAATAATCATAAAATGAGTGGATTGGAGACAAATGTAAAGTAAAAGTAAAATATTTTTTTTATTTCACAAAGATTTTTGTTGCAAAAATGTGATGAACAGCCATATGATTGAATTTATTACTAAAATATGAACAGCCACATCATTGTATTTATTAATAATTTAATCACTAATTAAGCTTGATTGAAATTTTTACAGAAATATAGTCAGTGTATTGTACTTAACTACTACTATTTTTTACTTTATTACTACTTGAATCTTTTTTTAAGTCAACTTACTTTACTTTAGTAAACTAAACTTGAAAGTAATTTCATCTACATTTCGTAGTTGAAAAAAATTCTTTGATGAGTTTATGTCAATTTGAAAATCATAAATGATAAATCATTACTTCTTTTATGAAGTTTTAAAAGCGGTTTCATTATTATTTTTTTCCAGAAAAAAAAGATTATAAAAGTTACTAAAACTAAAAAAAGATAGAGAAAAGTAAAAACCAGATTAAATAAGAGATGAAGCAAACAAAATGTTTAGTGAAATGATTTATGTAAATCTATTTATAATCTGTAATTAATATTAAATTTTAAAATATTTAAAGAACTTATTAAACTTCTTCCAGTGTTGAACAAACTCGTTGATGGCCCCTAAATTGAACGTACAATGATTATTTTTCCCTTAAGATACGTTACCGTAATTTGTGAATAACTAAAACAGTTTCATGGGGTAAAAAACTCACCTATAAAAATCCGGAATGTATCATAGAAGCAAAAAAAAAAAAAAAAATGTTTAAAGACAACAATATCTTTTGGTCCAATATTGTGTGATTAACATGCATTTACAAACGTAACAGCAATAAGTGACACTCAAAGCCAGAATTATATTTCAAGAGACTAATACGTATTTTCCTGAACCACTGTCTTAATAATTATAATAAATATATAATTTGTATATATAAACACTAAATTTATTACAAATTAAATATTTATTATGGATGGTAAAGAAGAAAGTTATATACTAGATTTTATTAATATATTGTACGAATTGTCGAGTAAGAATAGTAAAGTCGTTCATTAGGTGATGTCTTTGTACTTTGACACGCAACATATTTGAGAATATGGTGATAATTTGTATTGTTTCAGTGTTATATTTCTTGATTTAACTCGATCTTATGTTTACATGATTTGTTTAAAGATTAACAATATTTTTAAAATGTAATTATTATTCCGAAACACTTTTTTTTTCTTGTCGATTCGGTAGCAAGTGAACAGTGACATTCTCTGCAGGTTTTGGATAGCCACGTTCTGTTGTTAAAATTATATAATCAGTGTCTATGTGTCAGCAGTACAAATGTAATTAGTCACTCATAAGCGACTTCGTTGTGCACTAAGAAGAGTTTTGTAAAATCGTTAGTAAAAAGTAAATCATCGATTAAAAATTAATCACCGAACTGGTCCGCCATTTTTAGAAACTGGCAAGTTTTTTTTTTTTTTTTTTACACAATTTACCATATTTCAGGAAAATAAGCTGAAGCAATAAAGAAAACCTTACGTTACGCCTAAGAGTATTTTCCACTTTCCTGTTTAACCAGAATGTGACACAAGGTCAAGTTTAAAGTGGGATGGGAGCCCACCCGTCCGATTTCTTTTTTCTTTTTATTGACGCTGTCTTGGTCTCATGAATCAGTGTACAATGTCATTACATTATAAAACGGTTCCTCACATACGGACATTGATGTCTTTTTATTTTTTTATGAATTAATTATATAATCATTATTTTTATTCTATAATTTATCTCTTTTTCAGGTTCGTAAATCCGACGTAGAGAATTTCTCCTTTTATCAAGTGTCAGTTCTTGTAAGAATCCAGTCAGAGTAGGTATTCAATAATTCGCCAAAAAAAAAAAACAATAGCGTGATGAAAAAAGTCTCCAAACTTAATAAAAACAAAATGTTTTAGGGTATCTCGATGAGATCGCTAAACAATGAGCATCCATAGCATGATGAAAAAGGCACCAAACTTGACAGCAACAAAATTTTATCGTCTAAATAATTATGTTATTATTAAGAGGAAAGAACAAAGTATTTTTTTTACTTTTTCCTTCTTTTTAGAACATTCAACTTTTGATTAAAACGGCCTTGTCTCTATTTGTATCAGCAAAACTACTAAACAAAACTTTAGCGCGTTTTTTTGTATGGCACATTAATTTGGAAAATTTTGCAAAAATAAAAATAATTGTCAGATTTTAATGAAACTTTCAGAAACTTTCAAATGATAGAAATTATTATAAATATGTTTTCCTTTTTTAAAGTTATGGCAAAAAATATTTTTTTATATCCCCCCCCCCACCAACTAATTTTATGAAAACTCTAGAAATTCATTACTGTACAATTTAGTGATTATATTAAAAGCACAAGGCTTTGAGGAAAGCAAATCATGTTATTTTTTTTGTTTTTTTAATTAGACCACCTCTACCTGAAAATTAGCTCTGAATTGTAACATACAAAACTCAATAAAACAAAGATAAGTCCAATTTTACATGGCATTTGTGTCCATAAAATGGATGTAATTCAAATGTATGAAAGACCATACATGAAACCAATAAAACGTCAAATTATTTGAGTTACTATAAGCATTGTTCTCCTCTGTTACACCCTTTATTTTTGGAAATTGTGCGAAACACACTGAGAAGTTAATGTGATTTTTCAATTTCAACTGAGAATGGTACCTACAAGTATTAATGACATTTTATGAAATTTGTATGATCTTATCTTTATATTATCTCAGTTATGACATTTTTCCATAAATGAAATATGAAAATTAATAAAATGAATAGAAATACAAATAACACAGTAAAATGAAATAAATGTACATAAAATTATAGTGTTTTATGTACACTTCTGATAAAATTTCATAAGAAAGGTACCTATAAATTAATTAGATACCTTTCTTATGAAATTTTATCTCATTCTCAACAGTCTTACTTTTTTTTTATAATATATTTTCCATAAAGTTTAAAGCTAAATACAAAAAAAATTAGAGTTTTCCTTAAAAATAACAAGATAAATAATTGGTTCACTTAAATCTAAATAATTATGTCACTTCTGTCCTTACAATAACTTTATCTCCCATAAGCTGTCAATACATGATGAAATCATCACTTGTCAAGTGACACCAAATGTTAAGACATGCTTTGTCTTATTTTTAAACTACGTTTTTTTTTTGGCACAGAAAGTAAGTAATGTTTGTTTCAAAATATTTTAAATAAACTATATAATTTCTAATTTTCTTAAAATAAATTTTGAAAAAATTATAATTGTATTTTAAAGGAATTTTAAACAGATTTTCATTTTTGTTTACAAAATAGAAAAAATGGTTGACATGATCAATTTTCTGTCAATTTTGCTGACTCAAAAAAAAAAAGATTTTAACAAAAATTTTGGACATGCTAGGAATGATTAAAAGATGTAAAAAAAATACCCCCAAAATACTTTGATCTTTCCTCTTGATAACAACATAAATATTTAAACAGTAACAAATTTTTATCAAGTTTAAGGTCCTCTTTCACATGCTATGCACTTTTTTGACAAATTTTTTTCGAGGTACCTATACTTGTTATTATTAAGAGGAAAAACTAAAGTATTTTTAAAATTTAATACTTTTTAGCACATTTGAAATTTTGGTTAAAAATCTTTTTTTTTTTTTTACATCAGCAATCACGGAATATTTAGCATTAGAATTTTTAGCACTTTTTTCTGTTAAAACCATTAATTTGAAAATTCTTGCAAAAATCAAATAATTGTTGGATTTTAATGAAACTTTCAGAACTCATTCAAAAATGAATTAAATTATTTTAAAAATGTTTGGGAAAAAAATTTTTTTTTTTACATCTGTTACCCTCCTCTCCGTACTTAATTTTATGAAAACTTGACTATGTGTATTTTGTGATTATTTTAATTATATGCAAAAGACATATAAATCATTGATTTTTTTTTTGTAAATCAAGAAGCATTTCTACCCAAAATTTAACTCTTAATTGTAAAATACAAAACCCAATAAATTAAATTAAATGTTAAAATAAGATTCTTATTTTTTTCAATTTTAAATACAAAATGTGATAAAATTAAATATTTTAAAATTAATATATAAAGACAATATTGTCTGATAAAAAATTTTTTTGATGAAAAATGAATTTTTACAAGATTTTTCACTTTTTACACTGATGTGTATAAAAGGAAAATAAGGGTCTTAGAAACCATTAACATGCAGGCACGTGACATCAGCAAGTTTGCTTTGAAAATGGCATTACTCTCCCATCCAGCCATTCTAGCAGTATGTGCAGTGATGAGGGTTTTTTTTTTTTTGTACAGTTGGCATGCTTCCACCAATAGCAAGTCGTGTGCTGATTGGTCGAACTGGAGGAGGCAATTTGCCTGTGTAACCGAGAATAACAGCGAAGAACGCTGATTGGCTGGTGAACCGCAGTGTTGGCCTGATAAAAGAGTGCTGGAGCCATGAAAAAGGGGACAGAAACATTGGCTATAAGTAGTGACGTGTGAAAAAAGCGAGGATGATGAATTGAACCAGCGATATTGTGATTTGTACAAGTGACGTTACAGCAATACAGACTTATTTAAACTACAAGCTATTTCGGCATTTTCTCTAATCATGGCGGACAGAAGTTTCGATATTAGGCTGATACCTAAATTCAGTGGAGCTGCTACCAATTTACCAATTGTAGAATGGATTGAAAATGTGGAGTTGATTTGTGAACTTTGTGAGATGAAGAAAGTCAAGCGGGTATTGCCACTGCGCTTGTGAGCCGGGGCTCTCTCTGTGTATTGGCAACTGACAAAGGAGCAGAGGTCAGATCCAGAGCAGATTAAGCAGGCTCTTATAATTGCATATGCCGTGGATTCTTTCACTGTGTATGATCAGTTTGTGTCACAATGATTTCGGCCAGGGGAAACAGTAGACAAATTTTTAGCTAGCTTTGTTGGTTGGCGATGGATGATGTGTGCCTTCATTTCTGGACTGCCGCAACAAGTCAAGCAACTTCTCCACACATCATCCAGAATGGACACTGACGTTGGACCAGATCCTGGCTCACGCTCAGGCTGTTATGACAGATAGCAAAGAGCCGGATGAGTCAGTTGCCACAGCAGCTCAACAGACGAATATAGCAGCTCAATGGACAGGCGGCATTGTGTGCTTTAAGTGTTTTGGTCCCAACCACCTGGCAAAGGATTGCAGGCAAGGCTACTCGGAGAAGACAGCTACCCAGACCTGAAGATCCCGCCACGGGATACAGTGTTTTCAGTGCAACAAGGTTGGGAACATTTCCTCAGAGTACCAGGGAAACGGATCTGGGGAACAGACGTCAGCACTGGTCTTTTCTCCAAGCAACTAAAAAACACGGCGATACCTATCATTGAGGTGACCGTAGACGGAAAGAAGTGCACGGCCCTGGTTGATTCTGGGTGCTCACGGACGTTGGTGAGGAAATGTGCATGTCGCAATTGGCGACCAATGAAGACTCAAGTCCTAACTGCCAACAGTAAGGCGCTAAAATGCCATGGACAGGGCAATATTGTGTTGAATGTTAGTCGTGCTCAACCCGTGTACATTGATGCCCTAATTGTGGACAGACCACTACTTGGGTTCGATCTTCTTCTTGGGATTGACACAATTAAAAAATTAGGAGGAGTGCACATCAATTCCTCAGGAGAAGTTCAATTTTCTGAAGAAGAAAGTAAGCCCCAATGTGCTGCGATTTCTATCATTGAACCCGACTTTAGTGTAGAGT